CTGTTCTGAGCAGGATGGACTCCTCCGGGAGGGCTCTTGCCCACGGCCAAAAGAGGAACTGCCCATGGGAGAGGGAACCGGCGCAGACAGAGCTCGGCAGACGCCCACGGCACGGGTGAGCAGCAGCCAGGGCTCCTGGGCAGACCCTGGCTCTGCTCCTCGGGGGAACCCAGCCCCCTGTTGCTGGGTCTGCCTCCAGTGCACTCCCTCCTGTCCCCATGTGGGCCCAGCCCCTGGCAGCCCTCTCGCCACCCTGAGAGGTTTCCTGTCCCCCGCGGTCGCTGTTGGGTGTCCAGGAAGCGGCGGCTGACGCAGAAGGTTGAGCTGTGCCTGTGGTCGGTGCAGTCACCCCCTCCCCGTGGATGACAGCAGAGGGAGGTGGTGCCCAGCCAGGACCTGGCCTCCCAGACCCCGCTCTGTAAACACGAGGGGCTGCCAGGAGCAGGATCTAATTATTTCAGTGTTTTTCCTGTGGCCGTGCCTGGAAACCCCCGGGCAGGATCTGTCATTTCTGACACTATATCGTCCTTAAAGCTGAACCACGGCAAGAGGCAGCTGATGCTCTTGCTCTCTCTACCAGCCCATGGGGCAGCTCCACTCCTGGCAAACCCTCCATGGGCTCCCCAGCCCCGCACCCTGACACGGGACAGGAGGGGAGTGGGACAGAGCTTGCAGCCCCACTGTCTCACCCTTGACTTTGGAGATGAGGGTCCCAGCAGCTGTCAGGGTCTCCAGGGTGTTGAGCAGTGGGTACTTGTTGATGACCTGGCGCAGGATGCGCAGGGTTTCGCCCAAGCACTCGTGGGCCAGGGGCCGCTGGGGCTCCTTGGGGTCTGCAAGAGAGCGGGGGCTGAGCCCTGTGTCCCTGTTCCACGTCCCTGCCCCGTGTCCCTGCCCTGCATCCCTGTTCTGTGTTCCTGTCCCACGTGCCTGTCCCATTTACCTCCCAGCCACATGCCAGGCAGGGTCCTGCCATCTCCCAGACCACGCAGCCCATCCCCTTGGCCTTGGGGCTTCCCAGGCTGGGCATGGCCCGTCCAGCACCTCCCCACAGCCATGCCCGTGTGTCTCCTGCCCAGCCCGCTGGTGGCCCGGGGGGAAGCCCAACCTTTGAGGCATTTTTTCCGCAGTAGTAACTTTTTCCCTTGAAAGCAGTTTGGGAATTTCCTCCTTGTTTCCTTCCCTCCCTCCTCCCGGATGGACGCTCCCAGCCGGCAGGGACGCGGCAGGTCTGTGCTGCCATCGTGCCAGCCGGGCTCCTTCCCCAGGACTGTCCCCTCCATGCCCTCCAGCTGCCAGCCTGGGGGTCTGGCCTGGTCAGCACGGGGCAGGGCTGGGCACTGGCAGCCCGGTTAGCAGGTGAGGAGCCTTGTGCAGGGAGGTGCTGGGATGGGGGATTGGCACTCACTGCCCAGCCAGGCAAAGCCCCCTGCCCAACCCAGCCCCCAGCTCGGGGTCGGGAAGGGGTTTCTGCAAAACCAGGGCTGAGAACAGGGTGTCATGTGCCCCCTAGACCATAGGGGCATCTCCTGTGGCCCCGCAGGCAGGGACAGGCACTCGTGGGCCTGCAGACCACCCAGCCCCATCCTGACGGCCGCCCTGGTGGGCTGGGGGCCCAGGGGGCATGCCCAGCACCCTGCAGGGCTCGGGGGGCCCTGGCAGGCGGCTGGCACTGCTGCACTGTAAACAGGAAAACGGGCGGATGAAAATAGCTCGCGGCAGGAAGCCGCGTTATCCTGGCCCCGAGCTCCAGCAGCCACTCACCCGTCACCCACCCACCACCTCTGCCCGTGGCTTCACGGCCCCCCAGGGGTCCTGGTGGCCTCGAGCCCAAGCAGAGAACCCCCACCCACGGGGGTGTCTGTCCCTGAGGTGCCCTGCAGCGCTGTGACACGGGTGTTTGGCACTGCGTGGGCACCCCAGGGTGGCAGGAGCCGTGGCCGTGCCAAACTCACCATCGCGCAGCACCACGTCCCGCAGCTTCTCCAGGGCGTCGGCGAAGCGGGCGACGTCCGCCAGCAGCTGGGAGATGTCCTCGGGGTCGATGAAGGGACTCTCCCCGCCCTCCATGGGGCTGTAGGACGTGGGGGTCTTGTGGCCCTTGGCCATGGCGCGGGGGGCCGCGGGCAGGGGGAAGCTGGCGGCGCTGGCATGGCGGCTGAGGCTGGTGGGGCGCTTCAGGGTGCCCACGGTGCTGGGGCTGGTGCTGAGCTTGGCAGGGTGCTGAGCGGGCAGGTCCCCCAGGCTGGAGCCCGATGCCTCCAGGCAATCCTTGCGGGAGAGGTCCTGGGGAGCAGGGATGAGTGTGAGGGCACAGCCAGCACGGTGGAGACCCTGGCTTGGGCAGGGAGAGGGCAGCACCCAGGACTGGCCACGCCACCAGCATGGGGGTTGGGGGTGTCTTGGGGGGCTGGTGCCAGACCCTGCTGCTGCACTGTGCCTCAGTTTCCCCAGTTAGGGATCCCCTTTGGAGACCTTAGAGACTGTCTTGGGATCCCACAGGGCAAAGACAGAGCAGGCAGGGTCTGGGCACTTGCCTGGCCATCCCCCACCAGCCCTCACCAGTCCCTCTGGCTCTGTGTTCATCATGGGGGCACACAGTGACCATGTGGGTGACACTGCTTGTCAACCCCAGCACCCACCGTGCTGGGACTGCCCATCCCGGGGGGCTGGGGACCCCAGTACAGCCAAACAGCAGCAGGAGCCAGCCCACACCTCCCTTCCTCTTTTTTCAGCTGGTCCCATGCTGGAGGAGAGGGCAGGGACAGGGACACCTCCCAGGCCATTGCTGGGGGTTTGGCAAGGATTTTACAGATGGAGGAAGACCCCAGTTTCTAGGAGCAATATTGCCCTGAGGGAGGGGCTGGTACCAGCACTGTCCAGGTCCGTGCATGGCTTGGGGATCACACACCCAGCAAGGTGTGTGTGAGCATGGGGAGGGGACCCTGCAGATCCCCAGCCCACTCAGCAGCTCCCACCAGTGACCCCCAGACACCCAGGTGTGACACGAGTGTGTGGGGTCTCGGCATCCCCGGCCGGGCGCTGCCGGAAGCAGACACGGAGCGCGGAGAGCACGAGGCTTCTGTGGGCGAGGGCAGACGGGGAGCTCAGCCCCACGCGGGGGCCAGACCACCACGGGGCTGCAAGAGCACCCAAAGGGCCCCACCCAAAACGCCTGGGGCCAGCCCCGCCCTGTCCCCGTTCCCCCCGGGGTGCAGCGGCCCCGGTACCCCCCGGCCCTCCCCGGGGTGCCCCCCGGCCGTACCGTCAGTCGCACGGCGGGCGCGCAGGGCAGCGAGTCCAGGGAGCGCTGGGGCGGGTGGGCTCTGCCCGCCGCCGCCCAGGGGCTGTAGCTGTTCCTGCCCGCGGCCCGGCCGAGCATCCCGCCTGCCGCCACCCATAGGCCCCTCTCGGGGGGGTCGGGACGGGGATGGGGGCGCGTGTCCCCTGCTAAGGAGCCGCGAGTGGGCTCCGGAGCCCCGACGGCCACATCGTGCCAGCCCTGTCTTGCCCCACGCACCGGGCTGGGGCGCAGGCGCGGGGCGGGCGGTGTGGGGTGCCACGGGGAGCCCCGGCCGCCGTCCGGCCCCACGGGGGTGAGGCGCTTCCTCCCGGCTCCTCCGGCACCGGAGGGGTCCGCACGTCAATAAATAAATGCATGGCAGAGCTGAGCTGCCCGAGCCCGGTGTCCCCCCGCTGCCGCCTCAGTCCCCAGGGAGGTTTGGGAATCTCTCTGCCCTCCCCAAACCCTCGGACACAGCCCCATATTTCCTTCCTGTCCCTTCCTACCCTCCCGCCTCCCTCGGCGGCTGCTCTGTCCCCTTCATCTGGGGCAATATGTCCCGCCAGCCCAGTGAGCTGGGTCCTTCCTCGTCTCCTTTCTCCTCCTCGCAGACCTCCCGGACGTATCCAGGTCCCCATTGCCACCCTGTGGCTCTTCCCAGCAGCTCTGTGGGTGCTGTTGCCCCCACAACCCCCACGGTCTCATGGCCCCTGCCCTGCCAGAGATAGCAGGGGGACACTCACCGGCAGGGTCTGCGGGACGGGGCTTCCCGCCCGGCTCTTCTTGGAGATGGAGGGGGTTTTAATCAGCTCCCGTTTCTTCCGGGAGAACATGGTTCCCGGGGGCCGAGCCGCTGCCCTCAGCCCCTCGTTTGGCCCGGCGGCCGTGCCGGCTGCTCACGGCGCCGGCCACATTCGCGGGGCGCAGTGTCAGGAGGGCGCGTGTGACGCCGCCTCGTTTCCTCATCGGCTTCGCAGCCCGATCTGAAACAGGAAAAGCCAAACGCGCACCCAGGCGCGAGGTCGGGGGCAGGGGCACCCTGGCTGCCCTGCGGGGTCATGGAGGGGCAGGAGGACCCTGGCACTCCTGGGGGTGGTGGGCTCGTTGGGGACTTTGGGGGCTTTCAATGCTGCTGCCCAGGACCTACAGAGGGATGGGGGCCTGAGCCCCACTCTGCGGGACCGGTGCTGGCCCCTGTGGGACCCCCGCCCTCTGGGAGGTTTACCCTGTTTGGGGGCGTCCATCTGTCCGGGGAGGACAAGCCCCCTCCCACTGGCCCCGGGTGGGGGGGTGAATGGGATGGGGGGCTCTGGGATGCTCCCAACTCTGCCCCTCCGTGGGCTCGGTGGCGGAACCGTCCCCTCGGAATCACTGCCCTGCCTCTCGCCCCCGTGACACCCCCGCCCTCGGGGAAACGGGACCCGGGTCAGCGTGCGCACACCGGTGCACGGGTGCATGGATGTGCCCGTGGGTGCGTGGGTGTGCCCATAGGTGGGTGCGTGGGTGTGCCCGTGTGCCCAGGACGGTTCCAGCCCCGGCCCCGGGCTTCCCCGGGCTCCCGGTGCCTCCTGGTTCCCCCCGGTTCTCCCGGGGTGCCCCCGGCTCCCAGTGTCGGGGTTCGGGGCCACACCACGATCCGGCCGCTCCTGCCCTTATTTGGGCATTTCGGCCCCGTCCAATCAGCGCGGGAGGGCCGGGCCTGGCCCCGCCCCCGCCCCGCCCGGCCCCGCTCCGGTACCGGCCCCGCTGCCCGCGCCCCGCTCCGGTACCGGCTCCGCGCCCCGCCATGAGCAGCTCCCAGTTCAACAAGGGCCCGTCCTACGGCCTCTCCGCCGAAGTCAAGAACCGGGTGAGCCGCGGCGGGGACCGGGGGGTACCGGGACCACCAGATGGGGGCAAGTCGGGGGCGGGGGAGTACCGGGGCCACCAGACGCTGCGGCTGCCAGTGCTTCTGGAGCTCTGGGAGAGCCGGGCATCCCGGTGCCGCTGGGGGTCCCGGTTTCATCCCGGGGTTCTGGAGAACTGGAGGGTCCTGGTGTGCCCCTGGCATGCGGAGCCAGAGGGGGCCCAGTGCCACCGGGCATGGAGAGTGGAGAAGTTGGGGGCTGCTGGGAGGATGCAGAGCTGGGGATTCCCGAGAGAAAGCGGAACTGAGGGTCCCGATGTACCGGGGTCTCCTGAGCGCTGGGGATGCCCGAGCTGGGCTCCCGGTCTTGGTGTGCCCTTAGCCTGCCTGCAGGGTCCCGGGAAGTGTCTTGGGGGGACCGGGGCTGGGAGGGGTCCCGACACCGGCCACCTCTCCCGTGCAGTTGCCCCGCCACTCCTGGCAAACCCCACGGCTCCGGACCAGCTCCACGGAGCTTCACTTTCTGCTCCCCCAAAACTGCTCATCCCCCGCAGGATGCTCCGCGGCCTTTGCTGGGAACGGGGCTGGTGACCCCGGTGACTCTGCCCGGGGCCGGAAGGGGAAAGGGGAACGGGAGCCTCTGAGCAGTCTGTTTGCACCCCGAGGAGGGAGCTGCGGGGTGCAGGCAGCTGCCAGCACCCTCTTGCTTCCTCGAGAGCTCACAGAGGTCCTGCTGGGCTGGGGGGGCACAGCTGCCCCAGGCTGCTGGTGGCACTGGCAGTGGCCGAGGTGCTGGGCTGTGCCTGGCCCCAGGTGAGCAGAGATTGAGCCGTGGTCACCCCAGGGCTCGTGGCTTGTGGCCTGTGTGGCTGTGTCCTGCCCGGGGACATGGGAGCTGCCTCATGGGGCCAGGGCAGGCAGAAGAAGAGCCAGGTGGTGGTGGGCATGCGGCTGCCGAGGTCGAGGTTGTGGCTGCAGGGATGTGGTGGCTGTGGCTGCTCACCCAGCCTTGCAGAGGATTCATGTTTTGTAAGGAGTGGACGGGCCCTGGCCTGCCTGGGGCTGGGCTGCCCTGGCGCTGAGCGGGTGACACGCGCCGGAGCCTCCCCGCCGCGTGCTCTTGGTGCTTTGGGTTGACTCAGCAAGACATGAGCCAGTTTGACTGCCCCAGTGTGTCTGCTGGAGGTGACATCACCAACTGGGAACCAGTCAAACCAGTGGCGCGCTCCCAGTCCGTGCAATCCCTTGCAAAGTGGGCTGTTGTGGGATCTCTCTGGGGCTGCTCCACTCTGCCTGCTCCTGTGCCCTGGGAAACACTCACACTGGCCATGAGGAGGGAAGAGGAACTGTCTCCAGCTGCCCATGCCCCAGAAAATCATCTGGTGGGACTGTGGAATCCCCTGGCCAGGACACGCGTGGTGTGTGACCCAAGGTCCTGACCGGTCCAGTTCCCCTTTGAGGCCAGAGCATCTCCCCACCGCACAGCGGGGCTGGACTGTGCCCACCCCAGTGTCTCCCTCTGTCCAGGTTCCCTGGGGACTCATGGCCCCACCACATAACGGGACCAGGAGGGGATGGGATGGGCAAGAGGTCGGTGGGTACCCTGAGGCCACCTCTGAGGGAGAGGCTGGGGCAGGACAGCACTTGGGACTTCCAGGCTCTTCCCACCCCAGGTCAGGATGCCTTTCTCTTGCCTTGTGGGCCAGGACTGAGGAAACGCTGCCGGAGATGCTGCCGGCCCTGGCAGCTGGTCTCCATTTGGGAGGAGGCGTCCACATTCCTGGCATAGCCGCGGTGACCGAGGAATCTGCGGCGGCTGTTGGGCTTTGCCGGAAGGGAGAAGGGAAGGGAGAGCATCTCGTGGCCCGGACCCCAGGGATGGGAACTGGGCTCCCACAGGCTCCAGGGGACAGGGAGGGACGGACCCATGGAGGGGGCGCTTCCCCCTGGCCCCCGCAGGCAGCTCCTCCTCATCCTTTGGGAACGGTTCAGAAGCTGCTGTGTCTGCTGGCAGCATCATCCTCCTGCTCCTGTCCCCATCCCCATCCCGGGGAGGGGGGAACTGTTCCCATGGGGGGGTTGGGGTGCACACAGGGCTGTGTCTGAGCTGCCCTCATCCACCCCCTCCAGCTTGCCCAAAAGTATGACCCGCAGAAGGAGGTCGAGCTGCGGACATGGATCGAGAGCGTCACGGGGCAGCAGATCGGGCCTGATTTCCAGAAGGGGCTGAAGGACGGGGTGATCCTCTGCGAGTGAGTCCCGGATTGGGTGGGGATGGGGAATACCAGCCCTTCAGGGGTCCCCCACTAGCCTTTGGGGTGGAAAGGGTGGGCTGGATCGGTGCCAGTGGGACCTGCCGGGTCACTGCCAAAGGATCTCTGTCTGGAGAGAGCCCTGAGGACCAAGAGGGACCTGGGCAAGGAATTGCACCACACAGGGGAGGCCTGGGCTGGATCTTCCTGAAAGGGGCCCGTGCTCTGCAGCCCCTCGGGGCTCTGCCTGCTGCAACCCCATGTCCCCCTGCCTCCCTCCAGGCTCATGAACAAGCTGCAGCCCAACTCGGTGAGGAAGATCAACCGCTCAGCTCAGAACTGGCACCAGGTAAGTGCAGCCCTGCTGCCCCCCACCCGCTGTCCCTCTGCCATCACCCACCATGGCTCACCCCTCTCCCCCTCCCTGCAGCTCGAGAACCTCTCCAACTTCATCAAGGCCATGGCCAGCTATGGCATGAACCCCGTGGACCTCTTTGAAGCCAACGACCTTTTTGAGAGCGGGAACCTGACCCAGGTGCAGGTGTCGCTGCTGGCACTGGCGGGAATGGTGAGCACAGGGAATGAGCAGCTTGGGAAGGGGCACAGTCCTGCAGGGACCCCCAGCCTGGGGTGGTGCCCGTGGGACCCTATGGCTCCCCCTGCCCAGGAAGAGGGTGGGGGGACTGGGGCCTTTGTCCTTCCTCACCGCCACTCCTGGCAGGCCAAGACGAAGGGGCTGCAGAGCGGAGTGGACATCGGGGTGAAGTACTCGGAGAAGCAGCAGAGGAATTTTGACGAGGCCAAGATGAAGGCTGGGCAGTGTGTGATTGGGCTGCAGGTAGGTTGCCCTGTGGGGTCCCAGGGGTGGGGGACTGGGAGAGGGATGCCCAGTTCTGTCAAATCCTCAGCACTGTCATGGCTCCAAGCACAGCAGGAAGGGCTCCAGGTGCCTCAGGTGTTCTTGGGATCTGAGACCATCCTGGCTCCGTGTCCGGCACTCAGTGGCCTTGAGCCTGGGGTGGGTTGGGGAATTCTGGCTGTGCCCTCTGGGCTGGGGGTGATGGGGAGGCGGAGAAGGGGCACCTGTTTTGGGCAGCACATGCTCCTCACCAGACCCCTTTGCCAGATGGGCACGAACAAGTGTGCCAGCCAGTCCGGCATGACAGCCTATGGCACCCGGAGGCACCTCTACGACCCCAAGAACCAGATCCTGCCGCCCATGGACCACTCCACCATCAGCCTGCAAATGGGCACCAACAAGTGTGCCAGCCAGGTGAGCCCCTGTGCTGGGCTGGGAGGCTGTGGGGGGGACACAGCTGAGCCCTGCTCCATCCTGTTCTCCCTTCCAGGTGGGCATGACAGCTCCCGGCACCAGGAGACACATCTACGATGCCAAGATGGGGACAGAGAAGTGCGACAACTCCTCCATGTCACTGCAGATGGGCTCCAACCAGGGCGCCAACCAGAGCGGGCAGGTCTTTGGCCTCGGCCGCCAGATCTATGACCCCAAGTACTGCCCACAGGGCAGCCAGGGCGAGGTGGCCAATGCTGCCGGTGACCTGGGCGGGGACCCCCCTGGGTACCACTACTACCGGGAGGAGGAGGAGAGCTACTGACGGCACCGGCCCTGTCCGCACCATCTCATGTACAGCCACACTGCCAGACACATTCCAGCCTCCACTTTCATCATTCCTTCTTTTTAAACTCTTTTTTAACTTTGGAAATTAATCTATTTTTCTGAGCAAGGAAATAAAGACCCTGTTTCTAGAGAGGAGCCTGGCCAGTTCCCATGGGAGCCCCGAGGCCACAGGGCAGCAGGAAGGTGGCGGATGCTCCAGCACTGGGGAGTGGACACTGTCACCTCTCACACACCCAGCGCCCACCATGTGCCCCTCCAACACCCCCGGATCCCTCAGCAAGGAGTGGGGGGCAGCTGCCTGTGCTGCACCCAGTGCTGCTGCTCATCGCTGTGCTGGCAGGACCTGGCTCAGCCCCATGGAGGAGAGGGCTGGGGTCGGCAGGACACGGTGTGGGGGGAGCCCAGGGCACTGCGGGGCCTTGGGACTGTGAGTGTGTGAGTCAGTGAATGTGTGCACACATGTTTGCAGTCTCACGGGATCTCTAGATGCTGGAAATGCCTTTTTTGCAGAAGTCATAGGGACCAAGATTCTGAGACCACGGTGTTGGCTGCAGGGCAGGGCCGGGAGCTGGCACACCTGGCACACCTGGCACTGCTGCACCTCCCCACAGTCCAATCGCCCAGGCTGGAGCCAAGGCTGACTCCGACGGCCGCATCCTGCACTGCTGCAATGCCCGAGTGCAGCCAGTGCCCCTTGACTTTCCCCTCCCTTGTGGTTTTTAATGGAGATGCTCTCAGACTGAAACATTTTATTTTTAAAAATAAACCCTTTCAACACAAGCAGGAGCCGGTCTCTGGTGCAGGCGCCTTGTCAGGACTCAGGCGGGTCCCCTTGCCTGGGGAGTGGGAGCTGCTGCAGACCTGGGTGAGACCCCCGGAGTGCCGGGATGGTGGGGCGGGAGGCTGCGAGTCCCGGGGGCCGAGCGGGAGCCGGGAACCGGCTGCTGGGTTAAACGGCTGACAGATGTTTCCACACCACCAGTGCCGTGCCTGTCCGGGCAGGGACCAGCGTTTCAGGGGAGGGAAATGCCGCGTTTGGGAGAGCCTCGCTGCCCCGTGGGACTTCCACGGGCGGGGTGGGGCAGGGCAGGGCAGGGGAAGGGCCTGGGCGGGGCTCTCGCTCCTCCCACTGCCCGGAGCCCCTCCCCCCGAGCGGCCCCTTTAAGATCCGTTCCATGACGTCACACCCGCGGATACTTTGGGGGGGCGGGGCGTCCGCGCGCCCGGCGGAGCCGCGGGGGTCTCTTAAAGGGGCCGCGCGGCGGCAGAAGGTAACGGGGGTCTCGGGCCGGGGGCTGCGGGGGGGAAAGGAGGGGCTGTGTCCCGGCTGCTGCTCTCGGCCTCGCAGCGTCCTTCCGGGGCTGTCCGCACCTCCCCGCGCTCCCCCGTGGCTGTCCCCGTGTCCCCATCGTACCCCCGAGCTGTCCCCATCTCCCCCCTGGGCTGTCCTCATCGTCCCCTCGAACTGTTCCCATGACCCACCCTGGGTTGTCCATGTGTCCCCCGGGCTGCGCCCACGTTCTCCTGGCCCGTCCGCCTCCCGGTGACTCCGCACCCCTTCCAGAGCGGGGCTCCGTGACGCGGAACGGGCTCGGGGGGCGCCGGGGCCGGGGGATGCCGGGTGACGGGATGCCGGGGGCGTGGGATCCGCCGCTCCTCTCAGTTGCAGCGATGCGGCGTGTTTGTCCTCGTGGAATGAGTGAGCAGATTCCCAGGCGAATCCCCCTGGGAGGATCCCGGGTTCTGTGGCTGTTTTGTCCCGAAAAGTGCCTCAGCACCCCCGGTTCCCTGGACACCCTCACCCCGGCAGCCGTCCCTGTTCCCTCGTGTCACCCCATCTGCCCCGGTGCACCCCCGGAGGAATCTTGGCCCCGACCCCCACTCACGTCCGGCCCCGCAGGCCGATTAGGCGGATTTTCCAGCCGGGATCCTAATCCCGCTGCCCGGTGCCCGCTTATCCCGGCTGTGCCCGGGACCCGGCTTAGCTCCGCAGGCGGACGGGCGGCGGGCGCGGGGCAGCGGGTGAGTCCGCGGCTTCCCCCGCTCCGAGGGAAAACCAGCAGCAAGGGGGGCCCGGTGTGTCCCCGGCTCGCGGGGACCGGGGAGCCGCCCCGGAGCTCGGATCTCCCGGGGCGTGGGTGGGTTCACCAGGTGGAATGCTGCGGGTTGGGTCGTGCCGCCACCGGGCTGGGCACGGGAGCGCCTTGGCAGCGCTTTGCTGCCCTGCCCGGGAGCTGCTGGCCCCTCTCCAGGAGTGAGGGAATTCTTAGGAGCTGGCAGAAACCGGGTTGGCGCTGGGAAGGGATGGAGCTGAAGCTCTGGGGTCCCAGCGCAGCTCTGGGGGAACCCGCTGGGCCCGAGTGTAGGAGCTCGCTCCTCGAGCCCGCTGCACCATCACAATTCCTCCCCTGGGGTGCTTGAGGGTCTCACAGAAACACCCACCCACACCCCTCCCATGGGAAAACTGGGGCAGGGGCAGCTCCCTGCCTCCCCCGGGCTGCCCAGGTCGCCAGGGTTTGGAGCCGCACCCTGTGCTGGGCTGCGAATCCTGCTCATGGCTCCTGGACAGAGCTCGTGCCCAATTCTGCTGCTTTTGGTTTAGGAAAGAACGGAATTTGAGGCTTTAGCTCCGGAAAGGAGCTTTTCTGCAGGAATGCCGTCCAGCTCCTGCCAGCCCCTGAGCTCAGCCCTGTGCCCGGCACTGTGCCCGGGGTGTGATAAACCCCGGCCCAGAGGGAAGTGAGAGCCCCGCAGTCGCCCCCAGCTTGGGGCTGAACCCCCTGCTCTCCCCCACAGCTGGAGCCGAGCAGGGCCCGCCATGGCCAGCTGGGGCACCCAGCTGGGGCTGCTGCTCTGGAAGAACTTCACCTACCGCCGGCGGCAGCGGGTGAGTGGGGACTGGGATGTGGGGCACTCCAAGCTGCTGGGTCCCAGCACAGGGGCAGGCAGAGCTCTGGGCAGTGATGGTGACAGAGTTCCCCCCCAACTGCGGGTCTCCCCCAGATCCAGCTGGCCATCGAGATCCTGTGGCCGCTCTTCCTCTTCCTCATCTTGATCTCGGTGCGACGATCTCACCCGCCCTTCAAGCAGCATGAGTGTGAGTGTCCCCTGCTGGACCACCCTCTGGGTTGGTAATGACCCCCCCTGTGCCTGCCTGGGACCACCCTGTGTGCCCCTGTATGGGAGCCCTGTGAGGTGGCATCAGGGGAGACAAACAGAGGAGGTGATCCCAGTGTGGGGACTCACTGGCATCTCCCTGCTCTGCTGTGCGTGGGGAGTCCTGGGGATCCCATGATTCCCCCCTGGACCTCTTTCTCCTGCAGGCCACTTCCCCAACAAGGCACTGCCCTCGGCAGGGACCCTGTCCTGGCTCCAGGGCATCATCTGCAACATGAACAACCCCTGCTTCCGGCACCCCACAGCGGGAGAGGCCCCCGGCGTGGTGGGCAACTTTGACGGCTCCATGTGAGCGGAGGGGCCGGGGGACTGAGGAGCAGAGTGGGGCTGGGCCAGGGTCTCACCGTCCACCCCGTGTCCCACAGCCTCTCCCGCCTCCTGGCCGAAGCCCGGCAGGTCCTGCTCCGCTCCCACGGGCAGCGGCTCCTGCGCAGCTTCGCCCGGCTCCTGCCCGCCCTGCGCCGGCTGCGGGACAGCGGGAACCAGCGGAGGGGTGAGTGCCGGGGGGGGGGGGTGCTGGGGAAGCGAGACCCCTTGTCTGACCCCTGTTCCCCCAGCTCTGCCGGTGAGGGAGTACCTGAGGGAGGATGAGACTTTCTCGCAGTTCCTGCGGACCAACACGTCTCTGGCCCCGGCGCTGGTGGATGAGCTGATGAGGGCTCGGCTCAGCCCCCGCATCGTGAGTGTCAGCGTGGTGCCCTCTCCCAGTGCCCTCTCCCAGTGCCCGCAGTGCCAGTGACTGCATCACGACCTCCCTCTCCCTCCAGTTCTCCCTGGCGAGCATTCGCCTCCCACTGAAGGCCCTGGTCTGCAACGCCTCGGAGCTGGGGGGATTCCTGGCGGGGGACACCGCCGCTTCCACTCAGCGCCTGCAGCGAGGGCTCTGTGCCCTGCCCAGCCCCCAGCTCCGAGCCATGGAGGCCTCCTTCCTCTCCCAGCTGGACCTCCCACGGCTCGTGGCGGTGAGCTCCCAGCCTGGCCGGGTGCTGGGTCCTGGAAGGCATTGGGGCAGAGACACCTGGCCCATCTGGAGTGGCTGTCACTCCTTTCCATGTCCCCTGTAGGAACAGCTGAGCTCAGACGTGGGTGGAATTGCTGGCACCGTGGAAGCCTTGGGCACCTTCCTGCGGGATGCAGTATCCCTGATGGAGGAGGTACCCCCCACTTCCCGTGCCCCCTATGCATCCCCACACTGTCCCTGGGTGCCCCTGTCCCTGCCACCTCACTCCACTGCCCATCCTGCTCTCCCCAGATCTCCTCTATGACCAGCCTGGCTGAGCTGCAGCGGGAGCTCGAGGAATTGAGGGCCCCCAACACCAGCACCCCCGGTGTGGGTGCGTTCACAGCCCTGTCACGCATCGCCTGCGGTCACCCCGAGGGCGGGGGGCTCAGGATCCCCTCCCTCAACTGGTACGAGGACAACGACGTCAAAGCCTTCCTGGACCGCAACAGCTCGGAGCGGAGATCGGTGGCCTCAGGCAGCAGCAGTGAGCGGGGGCTGCAGGGCTTGTGCAGGGCTCGATCAGGGGCTGGGGGGGCGGTGGGGACAGGGATGGGGGGCTGGTGATGAGGGCTCAGCTTTGCACCCCCAGGTCCCTTCTGCCGGGAGCTGCTCCGCAGCCTGGAGTCCAACCCCTTCTCACAGATCTTCTGGAGGGGCATCAAGCCCCTCTTCGTGGGCAAGATCCTGTACTCACCACCTGGGCCTGGCCCCGACAGCGTCATGGCCGAGGTGAGTGGGGGCTGTGAGGGGCCTGGGGGAGGAATTGAGGGGGTCTCAACCAGGACCTGCCTCATCCCTCTCACCCAGGTGAATCGGACCTTCCGGGAGCTGGCAGTGCTGGGAGAGGTGGGGAGCGCCTGGCAGGAGCTGGGACCCCGCATCTACACCATCCTCAACAGCAGCCTGGAGATGCAGGTGCTCCAGGTGTGTGACCCCAGATCCCTCCCATC